AAGCAAATTTGAATCGAGGACTCAATTTCTCTTTTGACACAGTCACAAATGCCGGTCATACCTTGTATGGGCAGCATTCGTATCTTCACAACATACTCAGCTTGAGCCAGTAACTCCATTGAGTATATATGCCAAGAAAGTGTAGATTGGGGGCCAAGTAATAGTGAGCCATTGCACTGTCTTCACCTTCAAATTAAGTTCTCAAAATAAGAACCGCGAGGAGGAGAAGGAGGGGGAGGCCTATTCGGAGCAGACAAAAAGAGGAGCAGTAAGCACTAGACTTGTGATGCGATAAGGTGGCAGAGTAAAGCACAAATGAATATAACAGAGCCGTACACTGATTAAAGAATGAGGAATTGCATGAAGAATACCCTCCGACTTTGAAACTCTGTTCTGCCCCCCCCGCCCCTACACTCGTCTTTTTTCACTTTGATATTCTTCTCCCTCTGTGAACCTCGAAGTCAACTAAAGGGCTAATGATAATGACAATGATCACAAGATTTGGGTTCTTATTACCTCTTAAATTTAAACTGATCAACTCCTCAAGGAGGGTTTTAATGGTTTGGACATTTCCATTTCTTTCTTTGAATAAAGCCAGTATACTCGTATAAGGAAGTAAATTGAAGGGAGGTACCACGGCTGAACTTACGAGAGTTTGTTGTGGTGGCTGATTTCTTCCTTTCTTAATTACATCAGTTCTATTTGGAGCCCTTCGTAATCCCATGCATTTCTGTAGAAAAGAAATTTTGGATATATTTTAACATTTGTAAGAGCTGTTTTGGCATTGGAGACATTGGCAATAACTATTCAAAGTTAAACTGATATTAGTCAAAAGAAGGCGACTTAACACCAGATTCTTCACACTTCTTTCTCTATAAACAAGTATGTGTGTATTTAAATCACTTATCTTCTATCAATCGTGACATTATCAAGTCCGGTTTATTTATTTTACAATCGGTAGGATATAGATAAATGGACTACATCTGCAATGTCTGACCACCCGGTTTACAACGCCGGTGGATAAAATTTTTCATTCAATGTGCTCCTAAATGTGTACGTCTATCGCACTACCCACAATCCCATGTCAAAAATCTCAATTCAGCATTAAATGAAGTTAAGCTTAAGTTCATTAAAACTGGTAACCATTTAATCCAGTCGATAGTAAGTGTCTCAAGCCGAGAAGAGCCGTTGAACAATAAAGAAAGGTAACAATAATTTTATCTTTGATTAGTTTAATTCATTAGTTGGGTAGATTTGTTGATTTTTCACATCATATTTTGGAAGTATGTTGAATATGTGTTGTGATTTTACCTTAAAATGAGGACTGATATGTGCTTGCCTGCATCTTGCTGAGTTCCATGTTCGCTTAATTTGTAGCGAATCGCTATTTTTATAAAGTACGACTTCTCACAAATCTCTGTGACAGTATCTCCAACATCCAGCTAGACTTCCAGAACTAGCTAAGCTATAGCCCAGCTATAGAGGAAACAGACGTATAATTCGTAACACGTATATTCAGTCACGTAATGATCAGAAAAGTGTTTTTACTCACTGCTCATTATGCCCTAATAAGAGTATATTCATTACTGTCTCTTTTACGTATTTAGCTCATACAAAGATAGATTTGTTAATTCAATTATTTTTGCTAAGTTAGTAAGTTTCCAAATGCATATCTTACTTACATTGTTTACGCTGTACTAAGATGGATTGAATAAATTACTGACTTTAAAATTAATAAATGAAAATAAATAGGTGATATTTTCGAATCAATATTATTTCGCATATTTGTTATCCCAAAGTGACTGAAACACTAAGTAATCACATGCCTTAATCACATAACTTTAGTAGGAAGAAACCATTCAAGGTCATATATTATGCGTGCGCATTGAAAATTAGTACTTAACTCCTTCCATTTGCACAACAACAAATATTCATTACCTTGATTATCTTCGAGCGATTACTCCTTAGAGTTGGGGAAAGAAGGTGTTTGCTCATTCCCTCTGTTTCTTGGGGAAGTCTGACGGCTAGTTCTGTCCACGATGTTGGATCGCAGATAGGCTCCGGCAGACTACGAAGAAACACATTGATGAGCCCAGTCAAAGCTCGAATATCATTGCATGTGGGTAGAGAAAGCATGGAATGAGGATTGAGGACAGACTAAAATAAATGCAAAACTAAGGTAAACAATAGAGTTAGAACTTCAATTATAAGGATGAAGTAAACAACTTACTAGATCGGATGGACAAGCGAATCGATCAATTTCACTTTGTCTTCCAGGAACTCGGTATAATCCAATAAAATTTAGAAATGGTAATGGAGCTTTCAACTTTAGATTTCCTATTCAGTCATCTCCGGCGGATAGTGGCTCTCAATAGGCTGCAAGAGCATCGCAACTTATTTTGGGCCGTATTTATTTAATGCGAGCTATGCTCTCTTAATAAGCTTTTCGGAGCAAGTCGTAGGCAGCATTTGTATGCTCATTGAAATCGCGTTTGTATATTTGAGGAGTGAATGACGTGGCAGTCCAAGTAGTATGATGTAATGACAAGACAGCTTGTATAATCCTCTCGGAATGTCTGTGTCTAAAGCAGGTTCCGATTCACATTGGCTATTTGTCTGCTGTTCAGAGTGGTAGTAGAACATGTAGGCATACCCTTTGAGGCGTCTGAAACGAAAGCATATGGGACATCCCAGATATGGTAGGTAATGTCAAATGAGGGTATTCTTCATGCAATTCCCCATTCTTAAATCTGTGCACGGCTCTGTTATATTCATTTGTGCTTTACTCGGCCACCTTATCACATCAAAAGTTTAGTGCTTGCTGCTCCTCTTGTTTGCCTGCTCCGAATATGCTTCCTTCTCCTCCTCGCTGTACTTATTTTGAGTACTTAATTTGAAGGTGAAGACAGTGCAATGGCTCACTATTACTTGGCCCCCAATCTACACTTTCTTGGCATATATACTCAATGGAGTTACTGGCTCAAGCTGAGTATGTGGAGAAGATAAGAATGCTGCCCATTAAAGGCATGACCGGCATTTGTGACTGTGTCAAAAGAGAAATTGAGTCCTCGATTCAAATGTGCTTGCAAAATGAGACATCAACTCAGAGCAACTATTTACCTGCCATAGCAAAATCTATATACTTTCGACCTCTGCATCTTCGGCTTGGAACGAAGGTCTTCATTTTCTCATACGCTCTTAGACGATTACAAATGTCTTCAACAGTCGGGTTGCTTTCAGCCAAAATATTTAGAAGTGGTCCATTAGCGAGAAGAAAAAAGATAACTTGGATCCTTGCGTTGTCTTTCAAATAGTAACGATGCACCCCTCTTGAAATATTCTCAATTGTCCTACAAAGGCCGTCAAGATACCGCATTTTAGTCGACAGCAAATTGACAAAGTTGTCTCCACTAAAGTGTAAATAAGAACTCGAGAGGTATTTAAATGGATAAAGAAGGGTGACTCGAAGGGACTCGAAGTAATTTACTATTTTCCCTTTGGCAAGTAATCAAGGTACTTAGAGTGTGAAGATCAGCTATCTCAAAATCGCTTTTATGGAGAAGTAGCTTCTTTAATTGCTACGGGTGTTGATTTCATCTCATGGCACGTTCACGTGCAGTACACGAGTGCTATCAACCGCAATACCGACGTAGATAAATCCATTTGTTCGGTTTCATGCCTCTTCTGTAGATTGCACTCCATAAATGCTCATTTGCCTGTTCTTAATTGGTAGGATTTAGTACACCTTTGACAGGATTAGGACCGAATTGTGATTTCCTCTGAAGCAAACCACCACGAGACGTGAAGTCAAAATTGTACTCTCTACACCACTATTTCCTATGCAACTCTCGAATCATGGCAAAGCTGTCAATAACTTTGAAGACCGAGTGTTACTCACCTCTCTTCATGCATACGGACCGTTGGTTTGACGTTGCCTTGGTCCGATGATGGACTCTGCGAACTTTCTTAACGAATTGTTTGCTCACTCGACATACTGCCGTCTGCTACTGTGGCGCTGTTAAAAAGAAGTCGATTGCTCGTCTACAATACTTCTGTATACACGAAAGTACAAGAATGCGAAATGAGGTCATTGGTTATCTAATTTGATTGGATGTTACTGGTTTTGCCTAAAATAATGGCTCAATTTCCAATGAATACATCATGAAATGAGGTCGTTTTAAGGTCAACCACAGCTGCAATAATTGCCATTAGGTCGATTGAAATATCGAATCTAGGGTACAAGCGTTGTGGGATGAAGAAATAATGATATTATTGTTGTTGATGGTCATGCTTGCTAGCCATTTTCATAGGCAAATCGAACTATGTTCTCCCAATGAGCTTTGCGGAGCAATTCGTAGGCAGTGTTCGTATCCTCATTGAAATCGCGTTCGTATATTGGAGGGAAGAATGCGTGGCATTCCAAATAGTATGATGTAATGACAAGACAGCTTGTAAAATCCTCTCAGAATGTCTGTGTCGAATGCTGGTTCCGATACACATTGGCTATTTGTTTGCTGTTCTGAGTGGTAGTAGAACATTTAGGCATACCCTTTGAGGCGTCTGGAGCGAATGCATATGGGACATCCCAGATATGGTAGGTAATGTCAACTGAGGGCTCTTCGTTTGGCTCCCATGTCAGGCATTTGACCCAGAAATTATGGAATGCCATCTTAGCAATGTGAGCTATAAAAGCGCTCACTTAATTGCCAATCCACAATAAAGTTTGGCAAAATGTGCGTAAATGTAATTTTGCAGTTCTTTTCTAGCAAATTGCTACACAAATGTGTCATGCGATATCCACAGTAATTTTTCTGTCAAAGTATCCTGGTTTGTTGAGACTATTTGAACTAGTTAATCTTTCACCTGGGTAGACATCTAGTGAGAAAATCGTTTATTGGATTTTGGGATAATAGCAAATACGATTCGTATGTGGAATAACTTTCACGTAATTTGAATGAACATTAATATGTGATTAGCTACGAAGACCACTTCTCACTCCACTTTAGTTTATTCGAGTCAGAATTGGGTATCGTGGAGTGGCGTTTAGGAAAAAACGATTGCAGATCCTGTGGTGTTAGCGTTGAGAGTATTTTGATTTGGAAGGCGTTCACTTTAACTTTATTGAAACGTTTTCAAAAACAATGAATCTGCAGGTGGAATATTATGAACCTAAGCAATAATTTACTCACTTTGTAAATTTTGATTAAGGGTTGTTCCACCAGCTGATAAATCAACATTGATTGGAAAGTTCTGAATCCACATTCTCCATCGAATAAGTTCTCTGCTCTTCTCCTC